TCCCTAATATCCTTACCCCTTGTGATTATGGGAAATCCAGAATACTTTCCTCACCCCAAAATCTATGACTTAATCAGATCTGCACACTCTATTTGGTCATGGGAGGTGACATAATCATGGGTTCTCACAATTAGCAGGGGGACATCTCCAGGAGACTACTATTCTGTTTACCACACAGTGTTCTCTCTGGACCCCCCAAAGATTCATGTGTGTCCCATATGCAAAATACTTGCCTCATTCTAATATCTCCAAAATTCTTCATCCATTACTGCATTAGGTCAAAGTCTAAGGTCTCTAGTATTACCAGCAGAAAAATTCCAGATCTCATTATCTGTACAATCTAAATCAGCTATGATAAAATCTGGGTATTATCCCCTTACGGCCCAATTCCTCTCTCTCTGTGGACCTGTGAAGCTAGAATACAGGTAACCTATTTCCAAAATACAATAGTGGGGCAGGTATAAGATACTAGTTATAGACACTCCTGTTCAAAAGGGACAACATGGCCAGAAGAAAGGGATCACTGGTCCCAAATGATTTTGAAATCCAGCAGCACAAATTCCACTGGGTTTCAAAGCTTGTAAATAATTCTCTGTGGTCTTGGTTTTGCCTTTTGGGCTTGTGGCTCATTCTTCTGAGACAGCCTTCCTTTTCCATGAAGGATAACGTGTGCTCTCAGTTGAGTAACGTTACTAGCCTGTTTCCCACCAGTAGCATTTTGGGGGTCTGCCAGCCCTCACCGTTTTTTTCCCTCTCTTTGCTTCCTTTCTTCCAAGTGGGGAGTGTTTCTGTTGGTATAACATTCTCAAGAACTTTGAAGGTCTTCTGTCCATTAGACAAGAGGATCCTCTGCCAATTTGTTTCTAGATAATTCTCTTTCTATTTCTAACTGCTACTGAGAAGGAGGAGGGAGATCTATGACTCACACACCTACTCTCTTCAAAGAGGCCTCCAGATGATTGAATGTTCTGATCTTTTCATCCTTGCAGGGAACTAGCAAAAGGTTGTTTAGTCACATCCTTAGCTGTCTCTCCAGAGTAGACTTTCCAGACAGTGAAAACCTTTTTATTGATTATTGTTGTTGTTATTATTATTATTACTTGTATCTGGATAGACAGAATTCTCTAAACATCAAGTTTTGATTCCTTTTTGTGTAATAGCTCTTCCCACAATCTCTTTCACATTTCACCAGAAAGATCAAGAAGAAACCAAGCTGCACCTTTGACATTTTGCTTGAAAATCTTCTCAGGTAATATCCAAGTTTGGGGACCAGCAGATGGCATAATGGTTATGTCGCTGAACTCCCATGTAATTGACCATGGTTCAAGTCCTAGACCTGTCAGCTTAAAACTCATGCCAGGCATGTGTGCGTGCATGTCCAAAATCCTGAGAGGAGAATGGAGGAGAAAGGATTGTGATGTGGCCCCTAGGGGTGATTTCTCGCTTTCTGTTTCACCGAACGCATCCACCCTAGAGCAAAAACCTCTCTCTAAAAACAAAAGGTACAGGATCCAGCAGATGACATAATGGTTATGTCACTGGATTCCCATGTAGTCAATCATGGTTCAAGTCCCGGACCTGGTGGCTTAAACTCACACTGGGCATGTGTGCGTGTGTGCCCAAGATCCCAAGAGGAGAATGGAGTAGAAGGGATTGCAGCATGGCCATCCTCCCAGGTAGTGATTGCTCACTTTCTGTCTCTCTGTCTCTCTATGTCTCTGGCAAGCACACATGCCCTAGAGCAAAAATTGCTCTTAAAAAAGGTATCCATGTTTATTGTTTATAAATTGTCTGCATAATTATGC